AAAACGGAAACGCGCACTAAGTAGCAAGTATTACTGTTTTTTTACTACGAAAACTAGAAAGCGGTAGTAGGGAAAGGATTCACTACAATGGATTTTTACAAAATACGACTATTTTGCCAGACTGTCAAACAAACTGGGAAAAAATTTTACCTTATATAGAAAGGCGCCTATTAAAACGGACTCAAGTAAAAAACAGGCATTAATTACTTAAGAATATCCAGATAAATGCAGAGCTTCACTTATCTTTGAAATTGAGCTGCGCGCCTTGACCTAGTGATCGCGTGCAACATCTCTTCGTAAAATGGATAATAGAAACAGAGGTTTTGACAGTATTTAATCCCGCCCTATCAAAACTTGTCTGCCGCATGAGACAGGTAATGAGGTATTGACTGGATTTTTGAAAATCGTCACGTGTAGTAATTGATCCGAACAGGTAGCACACGGTAAACTGTTTCGCCGATGATTTGATTACGTCAGCCTCTCAGTAATTGGCGCCATCTTCCGTTTTCCTCTGTTCCGATATCTTTCATCTATCGCTACCTTTACACCTTGGATTTTTTTATTTAGACGCTTTATCCACATCACGTCGTTCCCCTTGCTCCACCGTCTCTAGCCTCCATCATCGATTCTGCAGACGCACCACTGATTATCCTGAACTAACTAACCTCGCAGATCCTTGCAGGAGGGAAATATCATGTTTACAATTCTGAGGATGCAAATCCAGGTTCCTAAATAAGCTTCGTCATTTGTGATCGAAATCAAGAATCGCATGTGCGTTTAAACACACCGCCACCACCACTCCGCGGCACTTTTGGAAGACAGTCGTCATGCGTGCTTCGGGCAAGGTTTGCGTCCTAGCATTCTTTTCCTTACAGTTATGTAGCTTAAGCTGTACATCGTCGTGGGCAGAAAACTGCCTTCGAATAAGGATCCCAAGCCATCTCCTTATCGGATGCGCATCTTCGCCCCAGATTCCGTGACGGCAAAGTCACGTTTTTGGTACTTCATCAGACAGTTGAAGAAGATGAAGAAGGGGAACGGAGAGATAGTGTCCTGCAAGCGTGTATGTTAGTCTTGTGGTCGACTTTTTTCTTTGCAACTTTTTGACAATTGAACCTTTAGGACAGTCGGTTCGAACTATTGTCTGACTTTGAAGTCTTAATGCCGATCTAGACGGCCTACCACGCATGATCACTGGCTGATTAATGTACTTTCTTCGGCTAAGCTCATGCGCATACTAATCACTTTAGGGAGTTTCCTCCCGTAAAGTGACAATGTGTTGTGAGCTCTTAGTCACAAAATAACCGTATTGGAGACGACCGAAGATACCCCTTCCTATGTCAGCCTAGGATGATTTTCTCTGTCACCATTTATTCCGTCCAACCTCATTCCGTGTTAGATGTTGCTGAACTAGAAGGACAGCCGGAACTTCAAAACTAAAACCCGCCTTGGCAGTGACTCGTGCTTCGCTCTCCTTAGTGTCGTTGCCAAGTCTCA